TATATATATATATATATATATATATATATATATATATATATATATATATATATATATATATATATATATATATATCTGGCTGTGGAGTCTTTTCGGATCATTGAACAGGATGGCTACCACAAATACTGATATCAAATGCTGCTGATTTAAGATCTTTACAGTTCTGAAGTTCTGATCAAAAGAATATCAGGACCGACAATGTCTAGCATTGAAACAATGCCTAACCAAAGTATCTGATCCTATATATTCCCCCAATGAAATATTAGTAAGAAATAACCCAATCCAAGGCCTGGAAAAGATATCCCTTGACATTTCCCCCTTTTAATTGCACAGGATCTGTGCCGGGAGCTTCATGAGAAAGTAGAGATTGTGGATGAAGAGAGATATGATTTTGAAGCAAAGTGTAACCATAACACACGGGAGGTAAGAAGACAGAGAATGGTTCTCATTTAAATTCTCAGATAAAAATAACACATTAATACAAAAAACAAAAAAGTATCATTGTCCGTAAGAAAATATCCAATACAGATTAGATAATAGCTTTATGAGGCAGTCTTAAAGATCATGAACTATTTTACCCATTTTGTTCTAAAATGAATTCTGGCCTATGTTTCTGACTGCAGAATGGGACAACTTAACACAGCCAACTCACTGCAGGACAACTTGCCATGGCCAACTTGCCACAGGATAACCCGCCACAGGACAATTGAATAATTCAATTTAATTATTTAAAATAATTTAAAAATTATTTTAATTTTCATCATTTACATTTCATTTTGTTTCTTCTTTGCATCCTTTCTTTAATGATTCTATTCTACCATTTCTTGGATATTCGTGTAACTCTCGTCCCTCGGCGAGTTGTCCCACGACGAGTTGGCCATGGTAAGGTGCCTTGCGACAAGTTGGCTGTGGCGAGTTGGCTGCAGCAAGTTGTCTTAGACCCTTTTGCCTGCTGGTAACCAGAATGGAGCATTTCTTTGTCTTAAATTGTAAATAGGAACATCTCCAGAATCTTCCATAAGAGCTCTGGATTATTATTTTTAAATATGGATTCCAGGCTAATGTTCTATATATAAAACTTTATATGTTTTCTTGCTTTAGTAGAGATGCTAATTTCCCCCTTATTAGTGGAATGAATAAAATGTGTGCAGACT